AGGAGCCATGTTCAATAATTCCGATTTCAGCCAGGACAGGAGCCATGTTCAATAATTCCGATTTCAGCCAGGACAGGAGCAATGTTGAATAATTCAGATTTTAGCCAGGACAGGAGCCATGTTCAATAATTCCAATTTCAGCCAGCACAGAAGCAATGTCCAATAATTCAGATTTTAGCCAGGACAGGAGCCATGTTCAATAATTCAGATTTTAGCCAGGACAGGAGCCATGTTCAATAATTCAGATTTTAGCCAGGACAGGAGCCATGTTCAATAATTCTGATTTTAGGTAGAACAGAAGCAACAGGGCACCCCAAACCGGGCACAGGCCAGGGATGTTTCTTCTCTGCCCATCCCAAAAATATCGAAAAAATATCCCAAAAAATACCCCAAAAATAGCTGCTCCACTTTCAGGACTTCTCCTTCATGTGACAGATTTTTCTAAAAAAGTCCCCCCACCCAAAAAAAAAAAAAAGAGAAAAACACCAAATATTTACCAGAATTTCCAGGCTTTTTTTTTTTTTTTTTTTTTTAAAAATTTTTTTTTTCTTTTTTTTTTTTTTTTTTTTTTTTAAAGGATTATTTTTCCCTTTTATTTGGATGATTTTGAGGCGGATTTTCGCCATCTGGAGAATGAAAAGCCTCTGGCAGGGCCGGTGAAGTGTCAGCGAAAAGGCTTTAAAAATGTTGTTGTTATTATTATTTATGGGCTGGAGCGCCGGAGAGGGAAAGGAAGCCAAGAAAAGGTTCAAAAATAGCTGGAAAAAGAAAAAAAAAATAGAAAAAACAAGCCGGGATGTTTTTTCCAGAAGCGACTCGTTCTGAATGTTTGGGATGTGAAAGCTGCAAAAAATAAATCTAAAAAAATCCAAAAGAACCCCTGGAAAAGCAGAAATCTCTTGGGAAATCAGGAACTTTCCTGAGGAATTCCGCGTCGGGAAAAATCAAAAAGAAATCGGGGATCCCGCAGCCCCTCGGGCTGGTCCCAAAATCCCCGGAGCAGCTTCGGGAAGGGCGGAACGGGGGTCCCGGGGCCGGGGATTTGGGATCGGGGGTTTGGGATCGGGGTTTGGGATCGGGGGTTTGGGATCAGGGTTTGGGATCGGGATTTGGGATTGGGGGTTTGGGATCTGGGATTTGGGATTGGGGGTTTGGGAT